AGATACATGATGTTCTATAACCTAAAAATAGAGGATAAATATTTTCTAAGTCCCACAAATAATTTCCCTCTGAAATTGGTTGATGGTTCCCAATATCATCCCCAGAGGATCACCAAGGAAATCTCAGTATCAATATCCAATAACAAGGAATTTGATTCAGAAACCAAGGCAATCGCTTACTGCAGAGGTGGGGTTAGCATGTAGCATGGGGCCAAATTGGCCACTGCTTGTTTTGTCTGACTTGAGTTAAGAGTGACTTTTGCAATTTAAAATGCAAAATATGTGACATGAAAACTAAATGAAATACAAATGTTGGTGCTTACTAGTAAAGTTTTATTGTAAAATAGCCATATCTGCTACTTATATGGAGATAACTCCTTTTGTACTGACAGGGAGGAATCATCAAGACAGAATCTATATAGCTGCAAAACCTAACTAACCTACTATCTGGTTCTTTCGAGAAAGACTTGCAGGGCTGATATTAATCTGTGTAAATAAATTGTCTACAGTGACAGGTATGGCTGTGGACAAACCTCAACAAGAGAGCAAAGTTCTGGGGTACATGCTACATGATACCACTATAAAATAAAGTTACATGTACTATTACATATTCTGTATGAATAAGATCACATGTGGAACTTTAAAAAATGCATAGGAATGATAAAATACCAAGGTCCACAGAGTGATGACCACTAAGTAGGAAAAAAATAGGATTTAAGCAAGTTTTGAATATTTTAGACTTGCTTTATGTCTTAAAACAAGGCCTGAACCATATACAGCAAAGCTTGATGGCACATACCACATCCTTTTTTGTGATTATTAACTCATTCATTATAGTATCTTGTATATAATGAAATGGGGATGAAATTTATAGAGTATTCCTTGTGGGAGCTGCAGAGGACACAGAAGAGCACTGTTTGAACCCTACAGGAGAAAAGCTTCAGTGATGCAGATCTGTAAAGATGTGGTTTGCATGATCCTTTTCAGCATTTCCATGTGCACTGGATTTGGGTTAACCTTCCCTTTACCCCTCCCCCACCCACACTTAATCTTGTGTACCCTCATATTTTTCTTTCCCTTTAATATCACATGTGTTCTGTTACCCTGCCTATGCTTCTCCTAGGTGACTCTGGTGACCACACAACCCTTTCTTTCATAAACACACATGTATCAAAATTCAGTTCAAACCCATAGAAAAGAAACCTGATTGGAGGCCAGGGGAAGACATCGGTGTCTTCCTCTATCACCTATTACTTTACTTTATAAAATAGAGTCTTTGACTGAACCAGAAGTTCACTGGGTCTGCTAGGCTGGCTGACCAGTGATCTCCCAGAATTTGCCTGCCTTGGCCCACCAGTGCTGGAGTTCCGAGCACTTATAGCTATGCCTGACATTTTAGGAGGATACTGGGGACTTCAACTAGGGTCCTTTTTCCTTTATAGTGTTACCCATTGTGCCATAGCATTAGGTCCTACAAAAGACTTATAAGGAGAAACAAGTCCCTGTATAAGTTCGTTGGTTGCTGTAAGTAACTCTGTTAGAGTTTTCCCAAGTCTTTACTCAATTGCCCCGCTGCCCCCAAAAGGACCTCGGTAGAGGTGTCATCCAAGACACTGTTTACTTGTGGTGGCTGACAGCTGGGTAATCAAAGGATATGCCTTTCTTTTAATCCCAGCTCCAAATTCTATTCTACTGTGGTTAAAGATTCTTACTAAAAGAAGAAACAAAACATTTGGGCATTATTTTGACACAATTTCTTCCCTACTCTAGTGCCAAGGCAAATGTTAATCATTTAACTTCTGAAGCACCAAACTATGCTCTCTGTTTGAGAGAAGGATGTTTTCTAAATAAGAAGAAAGGTTCTGGGAAACACAAGTCCACACAGATGTTAAAAAGTATTGAAAGAGGTTGTTTTAAAGTCTGAAAAATAGCAAGCTGGTGCCCAAGTGACAGTGACTACAGCTGTTTGTCTAAGATTTATATTGTGTACCTGTCATGTGTGCAGTGTCCACCTCAGGTGCTGGGTCCTAACTGGTGGACTGTTGGCCTGCAAAGAGCCTTGTTAGTCTGGAAGAAGGATTCACCTCCAATTTATTTCTTTTGTCTTTTTCTTTCTTCTCTTTCATTTAGCTTTTCTTTCTTTTTTCTTTCTTTTCTCTATTTTTCTTCCTTTTCGCTCTCTTTCTTCACTTTCTTCTCTTTCTCTCTCTCTCTCTCTCTCTCTCTCTCTCTCTCTCTCTCTCTCTCTCTCACTCTCACTCTCACTCTCACTCTCACTCTCACTCTCACTCTCACTCTCTCTTTTTGAAGACAAGGTTGTCCTGGAATTCATTCTGTAGACCAGGCTGACCAGGAACTAACAGAAATCTACCTACCTTTGCCTCCTGAGTATTGGGATCAAAGTTTAGGCTGTACTTTTTTAAAGGCATCAATATGTAGAACGGTGGATCCTGCTAGAAAACTTGGTAAGGTTGAGTGGATCCAGAAACCCTGATATCCTCATACCTGAGGACAGTAGATGTTTCATCTGTTCCTAACCAGGTTCCTGTCCTGGAACACATGATCATGATACACCATGGAGAGGACCATGAGAATCAGCCATGTAGGGACAGCACCCAAAACCCCTCCACATGCAGATGAGGCGTCCATAACATCTCAGACCAGGCCAATAGAAAGCATCTGCTTTTAGACCCCAACCTACCACAGAATGTATATAAGATCCTGTCCACAAAGAATAAAGGACGAAAGTTATTTCATCAAAGATCATCTGAGAGCGCCTGTCGTAAGCTTTCATTCAAAGCTTTTGCTGCTGGAAGCTGCTCAAGCTGACCTCAGTCACTTCCTCCTCAGTAGCCCCAATCATAGCTCCTAGCCACTCACAAAGTCTCCAGAGCAGAGACAGTTGTGGAAGAGACCCAGTATCTCATTTAGATCTGACTCCCCTTCCCTGCTCAAACTGGCCTACTGCAGAGTGTCGAGCTGCTCAAGAGCAGCAGATTAACTACCCTACCCCCTTCAGAGAACACAACTCTTTGAACGCCCAGGACAGACCAGAGCCCCACAGATCTCCACAAATAGTGTTTAGTACACAGCCCAACACCCATGATATCTCTGAAGCTCTGGAGTGGCCTTGATATGACCACAGTATAGCTACAATCTGTATTATTGTTGATTACAGCACTACCCTTCCCCCTCTACAAGCACATTGACCTTTCCTGCTCAGGGTCTCTTACCTTGAATTCCAAATTGCCCCCCTAAATTGGCAACATGCTATCAATTACACATTTGTATTTGTTTAGAATCTACTTCTACAGATTTTTTTATCAGCTATATTAGAAAGTATACAATAGATAAAAGTGGGTGTTTTGGACTCTGCAAATGTTGCTCTGTTTCCTACTATCCAGATGAGCTTGAAAAGCTTTTCTAGTCTTTTTATTCTATATACCTATCCTGTAAAGTGGCAATGAATACTACTCTGATTACTTCAGTGACTGTAGTTGAATTAAAATAATATAGATAGTGAAAATCATACCGTAAGCTATAAAGTTGTAAATATAAGTTCTCAGTCTACCCCTAAAATGCTGTTAAATCTCCAGACCCATTAAAACTGACTTCCCTGAGACCATGATTTCATAGAACATAAACAAGTATGGAAATACTTAACATAGTATAAAATTTGATCCTGTATATCCACCTGTAAGAACAGCCTGCAGTAATTAGTTTTTATGTAGTGCATTATAATGCATTTTACAGTATATATCATCTCTTTGATAGTCAAATTATTCTGTAAGGTAGGTATTACTACTGCCATTTCACAGGTGTGGAAACAGCCATGGAGCAATAAAGTGGCTTGCTCATGGCCACACAGCCAGCAATCAGGAGAGCTGCAACTGAACTGGAGCCTTGTCAACCATCCAAGGTTCTTTCAACTGTGCCACACACTTCTTCAAAGGGCTTGCCAGACTTTGCTTTGTAGGAAGAATGTTCTAGAACCAATAGGACTAATTGTCTCAAAATGTAAGCAGCAGAAGACTGCGTTCTCAACTGAATTTTCTGTGTCTATTTCTGTAACAGCTTTGAAATCCCACACTCTGCAGTTGTCACGATAAGATTTCTTATTTAAACTTTAAATATCTGTACTTTTGCATAGATAAAGAGAACATCCAATAGCTTAGAAACTATCAAAAGAAAAATAAGGGCTTACTTACTCTCTCTGCCAGAATCATTATACATTATTAAACTGCAGAGCACCCATTCTGCGCAACAGCTTTATAAGAAAATATCTGCTTTAGGACTCGTTAAAAATTGCTGACGGCTGTTATGAAAATTTATCTTTTAAAAACAAGATTCTAAATATATTTGAATGTTGGAAACCCACAAGATGGGGGCAGTAAAACTCATTTGTTGATCAGGTTTAAACTCAAGATTTAGTGCCTAAAGATTGCTGATCCTGTCTCTCTGATTCATAAAACAATCAATACAGAAGTGAATAATGCTAACATTTAGATCTGTCTTGGATTGCGAAGGTTTCTGTTCCTGATTTTAAAACAATGCCTTGGCACCAGAACAAAACACCACTCATAAACTCCCTGGGGCTAGAGAATTTTTAGTGTCTTGGTGCTTTGGGTCTGACTTCACACACACTGTGAGCTTTTATGGGCCTGGATTACAAGTGAAGCTGTTCCTGGATCAGCAGCAGGTTACAGAGATATAAGGCATTGTTCACATTTTTTTCTCTCTCTTCCATTCAGCAAAGAGCAAAGGCAATAGAGAACACTCCTGCATCAAATCAAGAAAGAACTTGCTAAGACAAAGATGGGAGAGGACTACTGATATGTATCTAAGTCACAGACCGAAGAAAAGAACTGAAAATCTTTTCACGTACCAAGAAAGATGTCTCGTCCTGCGCACAAAAGGCCAGAATATCACAAAATAGTAAGACCTTTTGGCCAAAGAGCCTTGCTTCTCTCTCCCAGCAAATGTTTTCTTGAAGGATGTTTTGTGTGTTTGGGGGAAGAGATGCTACTACATGTAGAAGGTTTCAGTGAAGCAAAGGTGATATTTATTGAATGACCCTTCTGAAAATAGTTACAAGCGTCTCTTAGTAGTGTAGCAGAGTAATCAGTTTTTATACAGATTTTTAAGGTATTCTTTGCTGATGGATGACTTGAATAAACATATCAAATAATCCTTTTGCCTCTAAGATAAAATATCAGACCATTAATCAATTCTTTATATTTCATGTTATATTAAAAAGCAAATAGAATGTAAAGTCAATTATGTATAAATTAAACAGGAAAAGATCGTCAAAACACTAGGAATCAAAAGATTGTCATTAAAAATACATTGCCTAGAGTACTAAATGTGTTTGTATTTGGCATGAGCCCTTGTCCTTTTTATATCTTCCAAATTCACTTATTGCTAAGATTTTTTTTTTGGCCCATTTAACTTGAAGCAATACTTTCGGAGGTTTTTTTGTTTTTGTTTTGTTTGTTTGTTTGTTTGTTTGTTTAACCTTTTACCCTAGCATCAGTAATGCAAATGTTACAGGTAGGAAAACTTAGGGTTCTGTTTTAGTGCTGTATTAATCATTTCAGGGACTGGTAGGAATTTAGTGTTATTAGGTGATTGTTTCCCTGTGTTCTCGAGGCTGCACTGACAACCTGGTATGTGCCAAAGTCGGAAATGCCTACAAATATTCCATCTTGCATCCTGGGCTCTTGAGCAATTTGTCTGTTATCTTATCAAATGACAAAAATATATAGTACATAATTCATACTGTGCCTAAATCACTATGCACATGTGCACACACAACAGTTAAAACCGCTTTATGCTAGTGTATCCAAAACCACGGAAAATAATTACTGGAGTTCTATTTATACATGGAAAGTGATTGATTTTATTGTTTTAAAACCATAAAGAAATTCCTGTTGATATTTCTTGGGATGTGTAGTACGGATGTGAGACCTACAAAGATATGCTAGATATGTAGTTGAAAATATAATCTCTGGTCATGATGCAGGATGAAAAAAATGGAACTTTTTTGGACATGTACTTAAAACTCAGGAGATAACCATGTTTCAAGGTTTAGTAGTATATCCCATGGGAGAAGGAGTACCTGAGACTCAAGGCTGTGAGAGATAGAAGAGGCACAATTTCTTCTCTCTCCTCTGAACAAATTCTTTATATAGAATGAAAACAAATATATTCCTCCTCTTACTCCCTCTCCCTCTCCCCATTTCCTTCTTCCTCCTCCTTCCTCTCCCTCTCCCTGCCTTCTCCCCTTCTCTCCTTCTCTCCCTCCCCTTGCTACTCTCCCATCGCCTCCCCCTAGTTCCCATTTGTTTATTTCTAGTCTACAGCCCTGGTTCATAGTAATATTGTTTTTTGCTATGGCTTCTTCTATACTAGACAGAAGCTTCATTTATAAATCATGGGTATTTGGTATGTTTTGTGTTGAGATTCTTGGGAAACAGGAATAAAAGTGAGTATTAGTGACCGTCAGTGTTAGGTTAATGTTATTTTTGTCCATGTCGCTTGCTTACATCCCTTATTTCTTTGTGAAAGCACTAACATTATTTTCCCATACCTGAATTTTAGATATTACTATAATACAAACTAACATGTAATATAAATTAATTTATAATGTTTATGCTACATATACTTTTGACATTTATTTCTAATTTCCACATAAATTGGGCCCATATATAATAACTAATATTTAGATTCTCTTAAAAATTATCAACAATAAATATTTCCACTTGATAAGGAGACATATTATTATGATATAAACCCACACATTTCATTTAGATGTCCCCCAGTGGAGACCCTGAAGAATTGGGTTAACTTTGGAATTATTTGTATAAAAAGTCATGGTGTTTTAGAGAAGTTATTTGGTTTAATAATAATAACTTTATTTGTTTTTTAAAAGCCATTCACATCCATCTTTAAAACATGAACCCATACATTATCAGGCCTCTGCTCCCCGACTTATGAAGCTAAGACACTTTATGGTAGAGCTAAGGATGGCCCTCCTACCCTGAAATCCACATTGACCTCTTAAAAAATCTAATACTGTGTATGAAACAAGTTCAGCAGTGGTCTGCTCCCTCCACACTTGTACCTCCATGATTAATTCTGTGGTAGAGTTGGAACCTGGAGTTGGAGGAGTTCTTCTGGCTCCTGATGGCTGGCAGGTTGCTGTGTCCTCTGAGTCCTTCATTTAGTCTTTAGGATGGACAGTGTGGGACACATTCTCACCACCAAAAGGCTTCTTTCCCTTTTGTGGGCACTATTTCCTGGTGGAAGCAAGACAGACTTTTTTAAATGGGTAAATCAGATTTTATTTTCTGATTCATTTCTTTTCTTTTTCTCTTTTTTCTTTTTTCCTCATTTTTATTTTCTAAATGAAACATTACTGGACTTCTTTTTGCTTATAATTCACTCTAAAAATTGGAACACAATTTTAAGTTCTATTTATTTCTTAAAGAAGAAACAATTAATGTGTATATTTGGCTCCCTTAAAATGCCCCTCTTTTCTTTAAGCAAAAAGAACTCCATCTGGCTTGCTGCTGTGGTTGGGAGTACCCTGAAGTCCTTCTTGACAGATCTAAGACTCAGAAGAGGCTATGCAGACACATGGCGAGCCTCATCAGTTATCCATTCCAACTAAAAACAGGCAGTGGGAAGCATAAGCTAACCCCAAATAACAATAACTGTATGAGAAATTAGTAATTAAAAGAAACCTTTTCCCCATTAAAAAACACATCATAGTATGCAATAGTTACAAATGTGTATGACAATGTTCTCGTGTAAGAGCATACACTTCTCCCAGCCCAGCTAGGTGTGTAAATGCAAATGACTGCTCAAATTTGCAAATTGTTAAGGTTGTTCGAGGGTGAGAAAGGTGAACCAATGATCTCTGAATGTGATTCCAACCCGTAGATTAAAAATAAATGTCACACGATATACTGCCATAGCTGCCTGTAACAAAACCATACACGTTTCCTCTACAGAACAAAGACCTTTTTGTGCTCACCTATGGAGCTCTGGTCGCCCAGCTATGCAAGGATTATGAAAAAGATGAAGATGTGAACAAATACTTGGATAAAATGTAAGTGGCACTCTCACTGCTGTAGAGTACTTATCGCTTGTTGGTATCAGTGCATTTTCCTGTCTCTAATGGCTTGCCCCATTTCACCAGCTCCTCCCGGCTTCTATGAGGCACAGCTGAGAGTGAACCTGATTTCTTATAACTCAGCTTAAAACAATAGAAAGGGATTTCTCTCTAGATCTGTCAACTATAGACTTCTCTTTCCTCTGGTAAGACAGGATTTCTCTATTAGTCACTTAAGAGCAACCAACGTGGTGGAGCAAAGTTGTTCTTTTAGTAAAATAATGGGATATACAGTTTCATTTTGAATTTTCACAGTTCCTTACGATGAATTACACTGTGATTTATAATATGTAACTCCTTACATAAGCAGGAGTGGCCTTTGGGTGCTATGCAATAAACAAGAAAACAAGCAGAAAACTGACAGTAGTCACCCTAGAAGATCGATGTACGAGGGATTCAATGGAAATGAGCGGGTTTTCTTTTCTTCTTGTTTGTTTTGTCTTGTTTTCTTGTATACTACTTTTATTGCTTGAGCACTTTTTAAAAGCTTTTTAATAGGAAAACCTGACCTCTCATTTTTATAAATAAAGCTCCTTTTCCTTTCTACTTCACTAGTTAAGTTTCTTTCAGATTATCTTCAACCTTCTAATTTCCCAGAAGTAAGTATATGATCATCAAATTATGGCAATATTATCATTCATTTTAACGTTTTTAAATGCTTTATGAGCATATATGTATTACACATAATGATGGGTGTCACTGACTCTTTCACATGTGTTCACGGTGGATTTTGATATATGCACTCCCATTAACCTTGCCTGTGCGCCTCTCCTTTCCATCCTTTTCTCTCCTAGCCCCACCTCTGCTTTCATATCTTCTGTGTACCCAGTGAGTTTCATTGGGATGATTTACAGAAGAATGAGCACCTTACCCGTGGCTATACCACTGAACAAAATGTCTCTCCCTCCTCCATCAACCATCACCTGCATAAAGACTGGGACTCCAGGAGCTCCTCCCCCTTTTATAACAAGTGTTGATTGGTCCACCTTTGTACAAATGAATCTGTGATTAGTTATAGCTGCTGAGAGTGCAAAAGTCATGTTAAGCCCAGATGTTGGCGTTCCTTATCTCTCCCCATCGCTCCAACTCTTACATTCTTTCCCCTTATTCACCCTCAGTGTTCACTAAGCCTTGAAATGAATGTTAATGAGGCTCTACTTTTGGCTGGGCATTCAATGATCATTTATTTTCAGTATTTAGAGTATATATGAGTCATTACTAACAACAACAACAACAAGCTTCTCTTACCAAACCCAGCAGTGGCACTATTATACAAATATGAACATGGTTATTTATGAAGCAATTTGATATGTTCATCATGTCCATGTAGCAAAACAGCAACAGTCACTTCCCTAATAGGGTCTAGAATCTCCCCAGCCACAGGCTTCTGAGTGGATTTTCAGGCTTATACATGAATTTCTTCTCATGGAGAGGTCATCAGATCTAGTCAGAGAGTGGTAACAGACTTGCCATTGTCACATGAGTTTATTCACCTTGCCTAGCTGGTCAGTATTGTTGCTCACAGGATGCACAGCTAAGTAAGACCATCAATGACAATTCTCCCAGCAGCCTGCATAACACCTAGTAATACGACTGTGGCCAATAAGGGGGGGAAACTTCTAGGCCAGTGCTAGCTTGATTTATCTATGTCTTGCAAACAAGATGCATAGCAATAATTCTTGGCTTGGATATCTTAGTTTTGATGGGAAATGAATAGCAGTAGCAATTGCTTATATTTTTTAGGACCTCACGGACCTCTATGACCAACAACTCAGCGAGGTAGCCCAACCTTGGCAATGATATTTTTGTATCAGGGAACAGTTTAATATACCCACATGTGATATAGTCCTTAAACTTATTTTTAAAATTGTCTATTTATTTAGGAGTATAGTGTGTGTGTGAGAGGGGGTACATGTGTGCTCTCATGCACATGCCACAGCATGTATGTAGAGGTCAGAGGGCAACTTTAGAGAATTGAAACAATTCTCCCAGTTTATGGCATCAAACACAGGTCATTAGGCTACTAAGCCATCTTTTCAACTCTCCACCTTAATTTTTTTTGTTTTGAGGCAAGATATCTCACTGAACACGGAGCTCACAGATTGTCAAAGCTGGCTGGCTGGCAAGATCTTCCCATTTCCCTGGTGGTAGTTACACACACATGCCACTGTGCCTAGCTTTCACATATGTGCTGGTAAACTGAGCTTCATGTGTGCATAGCAGGTACTTTATTGACTCCCCAGACAGTCTATAATCATATATTTGGATTGGCTTATGAAGCTTCAGATTTCCTTGCAGCTTTTCATACATCCTGGGTTTGTTGACCAAATCCAGCAATCTGTTCTCTCCCCATCTGCCAACTGCTCTTCCCATCTAAGCTGTCCTAGCTCTAGAGTTTTTAAACCTCTTAATTATGGACACTGGAAAGCACTATAGCAGAATAATGACTGGGAATTATATATGGGTTATAAGATTATTCAGGTATGGTGAAGGGAAAATTGAGTTTAGGTTTTTAAGAGTATTAAAAAGGGTGTTTTTCCAGGAACAGAGATAGTCAACACAAGGAAAGCTTGAAGAAAGTTCTAAATTCTTCTTGTCTTCTATTGCTATGTGCTTGTACTCTTCTTCAGGGAGGGTTCTTTCTAGGTATAGTACACATAGTTTCATTGCACTTCTTGATAATTGTATTTGCAAAGAAGCAAACTCCTTTTTTTCTTCCTCAAATGAACAAACTGCCCAAGGTCCTGAGAGCTGACATCATTGGTTATGCCTGGGACACAAATGTCTGATATAGCATTTGCAGAAATGACCCCAAATTATTTGATTTCTATTAGTTGATTTTGCATAATTTTGTGAATTAGCTGTAGAAGACAAAGAAACTCCCCTATTTAAATAAAAATATGTGTGGTGAACTGAGTGCATAGCTTAACAGTTAAGAATGTAATAGTAGGCAAAGAATAAAGTTTGAGATGCTGTAGCAAGGCCTTGCTTAAGAAAAAAGGTTTCACATGTGAATATTTTCAATAGCTTCTAAGAGCATTTCACACTGTACAAACACATATAAATTTGTATTTTGTAGAAGAGTATCCTTTGGTGGAAGCCAAATATATACGTGACTGTGTATCTGCAGTGTGCACATTTTTCATCCTTCTGCCCCATGGCTGAGCTTATAGCTATGTATTGTAATAACAAACACTGGACTCTTTTAAGGTCCCTGTTCCACTGTCTTCTGGAGTTGATATTCTGCTCTTACCTTTGTGGTTATGAGCCTAACCTTTAATGGCCGAGCCATCTCTTTGTCCGGCACAGATAGCCCGCTCTTAATAAATAGTACATATCAGTAGACTTGGTGAATTATTAAGGACTCTGACCTCAAATCCATTTTTCTATAACTGCCAAGCTACCAGAGATCTTCTGCATTTTAGGTTCCAAGGCACAACTATTGTCTTGGAAAATACCAACTCTGATTTTCTTGGGTTTTCTGTTGCTTTGTACAAATGGTTTCATTTTTCTATTTCTGTATGGATGTGAAAGTAAAGGCCTTTTTTGGCTAATGATTATGAAAAATAATATTCCTTTTTCTTTCTATTTTAAGGTCTTATTTCTGTAACTGGATTAGAGATTCTTTTTTTTTTTTTTTTTTGGTTTTTTGACACAGGATTTCTCTGTGTAGTTCTGGCTGTCCTGTCCTGGAACTCATGCTGTAGACCATGCTGGCCTCGAACTCAGAAATCTGCCTGTCTCTACCTCCCAAGTGCTGGGATTAAAGGCGTGTGCCACCACCGCCTGGCTGGATTAGAGATTCTTGAAAGACAAAGACTGTGGCATCTCTTGGTGTCCTTCTTAGAAATTTAAGTTCCTCAAGGTGTCTTGTTCAACAAGGCTGTTGGGGCTGCTGGGCCATCTTAGCCACTTATTCCATTATGTTAGAAACTTAAGAAACTTAAGAGCTGAAACCTTTAGTGGCAGCAAAATATATCTCTCTAGTTCCTTCCCCTCTTCCTAACTCAGCTCTTCTTATAAATGTAGCTCCCCTGCCATGATGAATACACTATGAATATCTAGGGTCATACAAGCAAGAGAGGTTAGCAAGGCTCTTACTCTGTTTCACAATAGCTAACAATGAGAAATATTAGGCTGCAGGCAAGCATCCTTCTCTGAATTTACAGACAAGTTTGGGCCAGTCTCACCTCCAATTAGACTCTTCTGCTTGCAGAGACTAATTAATATTTCCTGGATATGCTAATCTCGTCTTCTGTGGTCTGCAGAACACACACAAGACCATTACCTAAGACAGTCTGACCTGTTACATTGGGCCTAGTTTGTTATCTATCAGCAAATCATACTTTACTTCATCCACAGGGGTTACAACATTGGAACACGGCTGGTGGAAGATTTTTTAGCTCGATCCTGTGTGAGAAGATGCCATAGTTATTCAGAAATTATCGACATAATCGCCCAGGTAAATGCATTTCTGGTTTTGTCAATGTGTCTTCAAAACATGTCAAGTATGAGGTATATACCTATAATCCCTACAATACTACCAATTTGGAAGTCGAGGTGAGAGGATTGTGAGTTCTAGGTCTGTGCTAAATAATATGTTCCAGGGAAGCCTAAGCTACATGAGATCTGTCTCAAAAACAAAACAAACAACAATAAACAACTAAGATTCTTTCTGAGTTTAGTAGTCTTTAGTTGTTGCTAGGTGTTGAGAGAGGAGATTATGATAGAAAAGCTTTTTATTTTATTTTCATACAGATATATAACTATTATGAACTAAAGACCAAGCTTCTAAACTGAATTGTGTGTGTGTGTGTGTGTGTGTGTGTGTGTGTGTGTGTGTGAGAGAGAGAGAGAGAGAGAGAGAGTATGTGTATATATGTATGAAACAGTATATATGTGTGTTACATGTGTGTGAGTGTGTGAGAGTTTGTGTGTTAAGTGTATGTGTGGCACATTGGTAGCAGTGTTTTACAGGAGATTGGGAAGGTGGCTTGGCTGGTGAAGTATCTGTTACATAAGCATGGGGGTCCAATTTCATATTCCCCGAAAAGTTGGAGAGTTCTTGGATGACCTGATTGGGGTACCAATCAGGGAGCCACCCATTGTAGTGCAATGTGCATAAAGAAATCTCCAATGGTAACAACATCCCTGGCATGTTTTGAAGGTTGGTACTCTCAGAGGTTAGAAGCAGCTGCAGAGATTCAGTCCTTTATGGAGCCAATGTGTAACCTTGGAAGTTGTGAAAGGAACAGTTCTCCCAGCCTGCAGCCTCTGGTCACTGAGTGGACAAGCAGTGGAGCCTGAACAGACTCTGTGTGCTTCTAAGAAATAGTGAAGACAGAGACAAGCAAGGCAGTGTGGATCAGATCCTAAAGTCTTCAGGCTTTCTCTGAAAAGAGCAGGCCAGGCCTTCAGAGGTTTCCCTTTCTGCTTCATCCTATAGGTCTGTAGCAGTACCCAATTAAATTATCAAATTGATCCCATTGAGCCCAGTGGTGGCTCATTCCTCAATACCTGACCCAATGTTCTAGGTTCCCAAATGAAATACACACACACACACAGCCTTTTTCCTTTTTTTTTTTTTTTTTTTTTTGGTTTTTGGTTTTTGGTTTTTCGAAACAGGGTCTCTCTGTGTAGCCCTGGCCTCGAGCTCAGAAATCTGCCTGCCTCTGCCTCCCAAGTGCTGGGATTAAAGGCATGTGCCATCACCACCCAACTCACACACAGCCTTTATATTTTGATATGCCTAAAACAGCTCCATGGCTGGGTTACTTCCTAACCTCTATGTGGCTAATCCACTTCCCTCCAATATTCCCAAATTATTACTTACTAAATTCTATATTCCATCTTTGCTGCCCTGAACCTGGTTGGGTAGCCCTCTTGGGTCCATTCTTTTCCGGCTCCTACATGGCAGCTATGCTCTCTCCCAACCTCCTCCGACATGGTGTCTTTTCTCTCCTCCTGAATTGCAGATCTCCTTCCTTTCCTCTCCCTCTGTCTCTAGCTTGGGAATCCTAAAAGTTCTGCCTCTGTCTGCCTGCCAGCCATTAGCTGTCAGTATCTTTATTTACCAATCAGAACCAATTGAGTGCAGGGTCCCTGAGTGTCTTACCTGCAGACACTTGTGTGAGCAGTTTTGGGGGACCCAAATTAACATAAGAATACAAGCAACAGGACTAACATGGTTCCAGTTCTGAAGCCCCAGATAACCTGAATTTCTAGGGGACAAGTTAGTCCCCTGATAGGTTGAATGTAGTTATGAAAATAAGGTAAAAAAAAAATGAGACCAGAGAAAAGCTGTCAACTTTATAGGGAAGGGGGGATTCTAAATCACCGAAGAGTTGCCAAAACTTCACAATCAAGTCTATAGACCTCAACCTCTGCAGAAGTAAGGAAGCCATGTTCATTGTGTTTCTTTTGCTTTGCTCTCAGAATACAAATACTTTGCAAGAGTTTTGTGGAGGTCAATTCAGCACAATGGGCAACCTTACAGCAGGCATGCCCCAAATCAGTACCAAATGTAACCCTGTGGAAGGGTCTAGTTTTTACCAGCATCAGAAATTATTTCCTGATGCAGTGTTTTCTTTCTTTTTTTTTTTTTCTTTTTTTTTTTTTGGTTTTTTGAGACAGGGTTTCTCTGTGTAGCCCTGGCCGTCCTGAAACTCACTCTGTAGTCCAGGCTAGCCTCGAACTCAGAAATCCACCTGCCTCTGCCTCCGAAGTGCTGGGATTAAAGGCGTGAGCCACCACCGCCTGGCGACGCAGTATTTTCCCACGAGAAAAGTAAAGCTTCCTGTGCTTTGCCCAATATCTGATGCGTGTGCTAGTATCTTTCTTACGCATGTGCTAGCATCTCACATAGTTCTGATGTATGGAAGGCAGCATGGTATAATCCAAGACTGGCTCACCTTTCTTAGAACGACACATCTTTAGCCAGTGTCCTTTCACAGCAAACACAGGTTATGGGGCTAGTGTTACTCTGATCTAGTAAGTATCTGAGGACACAAGATACACAGGAGGCTTTGGCATGCTGCAGAATAAGGTTCACGTAACAGACCTACTAAGCTGGCGTCCCCTTCTTTTCTCTTCTGAGCTCTGATATTTATGTACATGATGAAACTGACTCTTTACACAAATGGCTTTCACTCCAGCACACAACACTCGTTTTGTGATTCTGAGTGCAGGCACCGCCTTTGGTCTGTCAGTCTCAGAGCATCTCTCTGAGAAGGCAGAACAGGAGTTGATTATTGACAGTTTTTCCAATAAGAAAACCAAGTTCTAGAAAGAATATGACAGAAACGAATAACAGACATGAGGAAATAAACTTTCAATACTAGAATCCAAATGAAAGTTGTTTCTACTTTATAATTATTATTACTGTTATTTTATGGTTAGTGAATCATGAAGATGATATTGGAATCCAGCTGTCTTCCAACTTCAGCACAGTGAATTTAATACCATTAAGCAGGTTTAAGAGGAGAAGAAGAAATTCCTCTCGACATGTGTTGGCAGAATATATGTAAAATCCTGGAGCAGTGTTCTGTGTATGTGCATGTGTGGGGGGGGAATACATGTACGTGTAAGTGCATGTACATGAAGTCCAGAGATCAACCCCGGATGTCACTCTTCAGGTCCTACCTACTTTACATTCTGAGATAGGGTCTCTCATTGTCACGGAACTCCCTTTGCAGCGAGGTTACCTGTCCCGGGAGCCCCAGGGATCCATCTCATCCTCCACAGCACCTGGGATTATAACATGTGCTATCCCATTTGCATTTTTCACATGCTGCCATCCCTGGCTTTTTACATGGATACAGGAGATCAAACTCAGGTTCTTATGCTTCCGTGATAGGCATTTCTTCAACTGAGAAACTTGAAAGTCTTAAAAATAAAATAACTTCACTAAACCAATTATGTGGTGGGTGGAACTATAAAAACACTTGTCATTTTAATGTAAAGTATATATTGTAACTGAACTACATTAACATATATAGCCTTACTTATTGTTTTTCTTGTTGGTAGCTACTCTAATCCTTTTGATTATTAAGTCAATTATTAATTATTAATTATTAATTATTGTATTCCAATAATGGTGATTCTGAAATTTCTTTGGGAATTATTTCCCTTGGCCTTTACCTGGATTCACCTCAGTGTCTTAAATGTGCATATAAAGTTAAATATAAAATGTGCCTAAGGGATAACATGTTTCCAGAGTATTAAAGCAAAACACCAGCAATAACATGTAAAGTCATATAACATGGGAATTAAGACTTTTTGTACATAAAGTTGTTTTTTTAGGCTTGACATCTGAGAAAGAAAATGATTTTAAAAGCTGATTATAAAGTCATGTTCATAGAACAGTGGGTATTTTAATTTATTCCTTTGTATCTGTTCATATGATCTACAAATTTTCTATTTAAATAATGTAACATACTCGTGTTTAAAACAACATGATTAGCAGATTATTTTTTTAAATCAGTTAAGAGCAATAAGCAATTGAGAATTGGGGTTCTTGTAGCCTGTCATTGACAGCTGAAGGTTATTTTCTGTCATGCATTGAAAGACTGGCGCTCATCTGCTCTGTGCTCAGTACATTGGGATGTACTGGGGGACACTGACTGTTGATATAAGTGAGCTCTGGACTGAATAGTGCAGTAGCACAGGGGGTCCTTCCTCTGGGTGTTATCCTTGGATCCAATCCAACATATTCATCTAAATCAGAAAAACAAACAGAAATAGACTTCAAAAGAAATTGGCTTCTGTGCTGTCTGCCCTTGTGTCAACTTGACACAAGCTAGAGTCATCTGAAAAAAAGAGAACCTTAAGTGAGAAAATGCTTCCATCAGATCCAGCTGTAGGGCGTTTTCTTAATTAGTGATTGATAGGGGAGGGCCCAGCCTAGTATGAGTGGTGCCATTCCTGGGCTAGTGGTCCTGGATTCTATAAAAAAGCAGACTGAGCAAGCCATGGGAAGCAAGCTGGTAAGCAGTACTCCCCTGTGGCCTCTGCATCAACTCCTGCCTCCAGGTTCCCGCTCTGTGTGAGTTCCTGTTCTGACTTCCTTTGGTAATGTAATGTGGAAGTAAAATAAAAAACTTTCCTCCAAATAAACCCTTTCCTCCCCAACTTGCTTTTTAGGTCACACTGTTTCATTACAGCATTGGAAACCCTAAGACAGCATCTATATTAGGAAATAAATCCATGTCAGAACTTTTAGATAGATGTAATGGCATAAGCTATAATTCTAGCATTTAGGAAGCTGAGGCAGGAGAATCATGAGTCTAAGACCAACCTAAGCTACACAGAAATTGAAACCAGCTTCAAAATGAGACCCTGTTTCAATACAAAACAAAACAGAAAGAAATCACTCTTTTCCTAATCAAAAGAAACCCTATTCTTATTCTTCTTATGCTCCAAAGAAACCCTAAAAAGTAATTTATGAAGGTTATTCTAGAAGGT